GATTGGTTAAAGTTCCCCTTCTGAAGTTTTATTAAGCAATTCAAAATTTTTGTCAAAAAGTAGTTTCCATGAATCCGTTCTCAAGCCATACGTGAAAGAAAATAGAGAGTGTGTATTGTGGGGGTTTGGGGTGGGCGGGAGTTAAACAATTCAGATAAATCCAGCGGAGCAATTAGATTGGTGTCAGGTTTGTTTCTATTGTTTTCTTCATAGGACGGATACAGCTTATGGAACCGATGGAAACGAATAACCGATAAACCCAAACGTCGCCTCCCATCTATGTGTTGAGTTGTACTTTTTGTATTCTTAATTGTATAACTTGTGTAAGCATATGTGCTTACATTTCAGTTAAAAATGTACAGTGTTAGTCACACCGAAATCACTAAGCAAATTCATATAACATGAAACGTGGGGAGTCGCTGAATTTTATTTTATGTACACAGATTCTGAATTAATTCAGCAGCGGATTGTTTCCTGTCATTTTGGAATAGGGCAAGATAGGGTACCGGGGATTTCTTTTAAATGTTAATGCGGGAGGATAGCTGCCGAAATGAGGAGCGTGTGGATGGGGGGAAAAGACGAGCGTATAGATCGGGATGAGGAAGATCGTCCAGAATCTTATTCGTAAATTTCATACAAGAGTTGATTTCAGCATCAATCAGCTTTGTGACTAAGGGACTGATCGAGATCAATGACACACGACCGAATATTACTAAACCACGACGAATGGTTTTGGAGTCATGTTTTGAGGGCCGGAAAACACTACAAGGAGCTATAGAGTAGAATGGGGAAAACGAACGTGTGAAAGAAAAAGGGAAAACTGACTATGGGGTTCGGAAGTTCTTTAGTTTGCATAGCTGAAAAGTGAAGCGTCTCAGTTTCCCCATACAATTGTAAATATGTGTGGAGCACCAGGGATTTCGGTCGATGGTGGCACCCTGGAACCTAACAGCGGTCACTTTAGCCACGGGGTTACAGTGAAGTGTCGCAGAGTCCGTTGGAAATGAAGAGCGCTACTCTATGCGCTAGAATGTGTTGAGACTAAGACTAGATTGGTTGGGGGAATCGTTAGATTTGGGATAGATATTCGGTGATTCCGAAGATGTTGAAACTGTCTAACAAAAAACGACACCGTCAGCATACTTTTGCACGCCTGTAGGGGTTGGAACCAAAATTTCACCAAGATAGCAGAAAAGAAGTATTCATGCAGAACAGCACCTTGCGGTACACCGGCATTTTTATTTAGAGGTTTTGATGTTCTTCTGCCAAATTTGTTTCATTGGATTCTTTTTGTAAAATAGTCAGCAAGCAGCTGTCTTGGAGTGCCAAAAGACTGAAGTTTAAAAAGAAGGAATAATCAAGAAACGGTCACTATTCATAAAAGATGAGGAAAAAGCGGAGATGCTGCCATCACAATATGCCCCAGTGTACACCCCAGACCCCAGCACACTGGCATATCTACTAGACACTGACACTGCGCTGAACTGGACCCCATTTACAATCGGAGAGGTGGCCCTGGAGCCGCGTCGACTAAAGGTTCACCAGTCACCTGGACCTGATGGTGTGCATCCGCTGATCCTGAAGGATCTGGCAGATGAACTTGCAGTGCCACTGTGCAACCTGTTCAATTTGTCATCCACTCAAGGGCGTTTACCGCGGCAATGGAAGGACGCTGTCACTGTTCCACTCCCCAAAGTTGGGGATAGGAGTGACCCCGGGAACTAATAACTAGTCAGCCTTTCTAGCGTTGTGGTTAAAGTAATGGAGCGACTGGTGGCTGCACGGCTTCAGCAGCATTTGGTGTGCCACGGTCACCTGTGCCA